AAAGGCTCTCGCTCACAGTGCTGCTCTTCTGGTACCACTTAGCCACTCAGCACCACCATGCCACACATCCCTCTGAACTCAATGCACCCTCCTCAAGCTTTGATCACACCCAGATTCCAGTATACAGTATTTAATAAACTCCAATAAGCAGGTTCCTATGCAAGATACACTGTCAATTTATTTTTAACAATTTCAAAAGTAGTAAAGGCATGTCATAAGATGTGCATGAAGTTTAGAACATAACCAGATTGCTGCTACTTGATTACAGCAACATATAGAGAACTTTATATTAAGAGAAATTCAATTTTAAAATGGGGTCTTTTTAGAGCGTATTCTATTGCCAGTGTTCAAGAAAAAAAAAAAAGATGATTCTTTTTAAAATAAAAGCTTCCTCTGAAAAAGTTATTGTAATAAGCCTGACAGATAATCAGTAACAAACAGAAGACAAAGGCATAAGTGTTACTGTAACAAAAACAGCAAATCCTCTGCCTAGTGTAGCTTTATTTTGGAGCAAAAAATTCAAATCTTTCATGGGAAGCCTCTGGACTGGAATTTACTTTCAAATAACGGCATGGATACTGAATGTTCAATACTGAACAGAAGCCCCAAAATCAGTTTTGTGCAGTGCCTTGCACAATTCTACAGTTTCAAAATGCTTACTAGAATATTGCCATTGACCTTTCTATTTTGTACCAAAACATAACATAAAAACAACTATTTTATATGCAAAATTTCACTGGCTAAATATTAAAGAAGTTCTTCATTTTAGGCAGCTTGATTCTGGGAAGATCTGAAGACAGTAACATGATACCTTTCTTGCATTTCTTCTGTTTATGAGCTGAACACGTTCTTCACCAGTCAGGCTGTTAACATCCAGTTTATTAGGGTTTCGACAACGATGTCTCTTTTGTTTGGGCCTCCCATCATGCAGCTGCATTCTCTGGTATAAAGGAATTAAAAAGCCTATTATTTTTTCTGATAGAACTAATAACAAACATTTAAATACTTGCATATTCTTTTTAGACAGGCTTTCATATGAAGTCACCTCCTTTTCTTCAGTATCATAAGGAAATTCATTTGGATAGTTGTTCTTATGACTTAGAAAAATGGAAATGTAGATTGCCCGACAATCTAGTTTAACTCTACACTAGCTATATTCCTAATCCTCTTGAACATCACTAAATTCATCTTTACTTATTTTCAGCTCTGATCATTTCTAACTGGCTCATAAGCATCACAGTAAAACCTATTTTCTTATTGTTGATATTATTTAAAGCCTATATAGAACTAGAAAATGATCGAATATCCATGCTTAATGGTATTTTCCCTAGCAATTATATTTGCAAGGGAAATTTAAAGGCCAGTGGAGCTTGCAAATTACGTAAGAAGAAGTACCAGGAGACAGATGTTTTCCTTACTAAACAAGGATATACAGTACGGAAGAACAAAACAGAACTCCACACAAAATAGAACACAAATTCAAGTACATTATGAGAGATGTTTTGCTACTGAACTAAAGCGGAGCTGAAAAGAAGACTCACCGGAATACAAGCTCCTAAATCCTCAACATAGCCAGGATGTTCCTTCAGCCACTTCTCTAAGTCTTTTCTTTTTGGGGCATCATCACCTGCAAGCCTTGTTCCATCTTTTAAGTTAATAACAGGAACTGGACTTTCTGCATCAAGAATGCCTTGGGACTGAGTGTAATTGAGTGCTGGATTGATTCCTGCAGCAACTTGACAGGAGTTAATACCTGGATTAACCTGGAGAAATTGAAAACATTTGATTAAGTTCTCTGTGGAAAGCAAAAGCTACCTTAATTGTTTTATACATAACACAATGAAGGATGCAGTCTTGTGAATCATTATGCACAAATCCAGGAACTCAGAGACACTGCTCGTGAGCCTCAAGACAAACTGCATGTAAAGTCATTGTAAGTCAGGGCCTGTAGCATACATCAACAAAAAAGGGACTAGGAAGAAAAGACACCTGAAAACAATGCTAGGTTAAAGGCCATTTTTATAATAATACATTAATAACTGCATTTTTTATCAAAAACAAGAACTAAATGTAATTTTGTCTTAAATAAAGCGTTGCCAACATAGCATTTCAGTCATATTGAATAAAACAGTCCTCATTTTGTAGTCTAAAAATTGTTTTCAGTAATAAACTTTTTGTTGTATATTGACAGCTTAATGCTCAGTTAAGCAACTAACAGGAAATTGGACCTAACTTTTGGATACAGAATCAAATTTACTTACATGATTAGGCTGTTTATTTCTATTTATAAAGAGGACATCGACTCCTTCCACATTCTTCCTTCTTCCTCTTCTCTTTTTCACTACAGGCTGGCTGTCAACTATTACTCCATTGGCACTAGCAGTTAACTGACTGGAAGTACCTGGTCAAATGAACAAAGCAGTAAAATTCATGATGCTTGAGCTGCTTATAACAAGTAACATGTTAGAAGAAAAAAAGAAAGATGATGATGTGGACGTAGTGCTGCTACAGATAATTTCTACAGATATTTTCTAAATATAACATTATGTAACAAAAATTGCCTATTGTTTGATGGCATTCCTCTAGAAAACAGTTCAGAACAAATAACATAATACATATTTCTCTCCATTTACTGTAAGCAGAGAGCAACAGAGCCACCCCAAATTGCAGATTTACTACTAACCCCTCTTCCTATCGATATTTTATAAAGTCATAGAGCATACCTGATTCTGGAAGTGATTTGGGGAAGTTGACAAGACTGGTCTCTGAAGCATTCTGGAGCTCTCGAAGCCGAGCCAGGTATTGCTGCTGTCCCAATGCACCTTCCTCACTTTCAAATGGCCTTTTCTGAGACAGTCCCTGCTTCTGAAAAGTCAATTTCAAACCACCTTCCTGTTAAATAAATCCTAGGGTTAGAAGAGTCTCTTCTGAAGCAGAAATGACTACTTCACAATCAGAGTTCTCATGTACAAACAGTTACTCTGGAAGAATTGAGGAATGAAACTTAGGATTAGATCTTACATCAAGTCCTGCTTCTCTTCCACATTAAAAAAATTGGCAAGTTCATGGAATCATTTCTATTAATACAGATTTTAAGTCATTAATACCTTAAAACTGAACCAGTGAACAACTGTCTGCCTCCCTAATCTAGTCCTACACAAACACCATATCCAATTACGAGACTCTTCTCCTGTATATTTTATGTGCTAGGAATAGCCTGTAAATTGCACACACAGAAGAAAAAAAAAAAAAAAAGAGAGAAAAAAAACCCACCAGCATTCTGCTCATAAAACTGGGAAACTGACCTGCAACCCTTTAGCACACCATAAAATGATAAAGTATTTGCTGGATAGGACATGTTACAATCTTCAAAATAGCTAAACACAATAGAAATACCTTTTATTATTAACCAGGTCCTTAGAAACTGAAAAAAAACCCACCAACACCAGGCTGTCCGAGGAAGCAAGGTAACAGCAAACTTTCTGTTAGGAGGGAAGCATGACGACTCCCTCCAGTGGTTTATGCAAATAAATTAAAAAAAAAAAATGCCCCAAAGAAGCAGACCCAAATACCCACAAACAAGTGTGCGAAGGAAGTAAGAGTGAGAGCAGGCAGCCACTTGCAGGTAAAGCATGCCGCACACCGCAATCGCAATCAGGTCCTAGGGCAATAAAAATAAACATACGTCATTGATTTTCACTGTAAACTCCTTTTCTCGTACATGCTTCTTCACCTTTGACATCTGTGGCGACTGATCATATTCTTCTTTAACCCCCACGTGCGGCGGGGTTGGCGCGCTGGGTTCGCTGTAGTCCGCAGCTGCCCCCGGGCTGTCCAGGAGCTTGGTTGTGTAGAAGGATGCCACTGTGTTGCTCTCGTAGCTCCTTCGTGCTGAAGGCCATTTACCTTTCAATACTGTTTGACAAATGCTATCGAGCCGATTAATCATAACTCGATCCTAAAAAAACAGGGAGGAAGGATTTTTATAAAAATAACGCTTAACAGTACTGTACACATTACACGTACGTACAATCTTCCAAATTAAAAACAAGGGCAAGGTGCATCACTGGGCTTGGACTCTAAGCTTTGCTCCTGGCTCTGCACAGATTCCCTGGGGGAGGCTGTGCAAGTCCCTGTGCACTCCTGACTCCAGCGCCTGCCAACACACATGTGGCCATATGGGACTGAGTCCTGTGAATGCTGAAACGCATTATCACACCATTTTTTAAAGGAAAGATATAATAACTAGCAAAGGAGAGTTTGTAATTCTAGCTTTGAATCCCTGGAGACAAAAGACTACTAGTCAAAAAAAAAGTGATTTTTTTGCTCTCTCTCACTGTATGTTTTGGACTACTCTTAGCTGTTCCTTAGTAAGAGATACAAGTTCTTAATGACTTAGATCATCCAAATACCCACTAGTTTCATCTAATTTACATTTTCTTCTATCTTATCTCAATCTTATTTTACATCTTCTTATTTACATTTCCTTTAAATTTATTTTCCAAATGTGAACAATCTCTCATTTATAGTTATAGCTGTATAACCTACATATTAATAACTATAATTTCATCATAAATTTCCTGTAATCCATCAAGAAGGCAATTGGTCCTTTTTTAAAGATCTCCCCACAACTTCAGCTTGAGTAATTTTTATCTTTAATGTTTAATTAAAACTAATGTTTAACCCAGCCCTAACCCTTTGGTTTCCAAAGCAGCACTATAAACTTGCCTTTGGCCAGTAGGATGCAGCCAACATGTATCCCCCCTGTAAGAGATAACTGGAATTTGGTGTTCCATTGTTCATCTGGAAACTGTCCTGGGTTTCATCCTGTGTTGTACTCAGAGAGGCGACACTTTCTTCATCGTAGGCTTTTATATGAGGGGTTCCTTCTGCTAAATAAAACCACTGATATAATTTCATGTTGCAAAAACAGGAATAAAAAAACCACTCAATCTTAGAGAAGCTCAGGTACACAACACAAAACAACATTCAGAAGTCCAAACACTAAGTTAAACTGAAAAAAATAATTTGTCAGATTTTTCTGTAAGCCTGTTCACCTTCCAAAACTTCTTCCATGAGCTTAACATGCCAAGCATTCAGCTTTTAGAAAACAGATGTGCTTCAGAGGAATCTGATAGACAATTCTTACATATTTTTGACATTAGCAAACCAACATGCTCTGCAACATGGTATTAGTTTGAATTGAGAGATTGTCACCAGGATGTGGCGAGTCTACGAAGCAGACTGCTTTATATGCCTAAATAGACTGAGCTGGCAGAAAGGAAACCCAATATTTGTTTGTAAAGCAAATGTTACGATATCTTCCCTCCAGAAGTAAAGGGCATGCATACCATGTAAGCCTTCCTTTTGTCACACGGGTATGAAAGAGATATACAACTGCTTCACCTGAAAACATCGTACTGCTACAGAGAGCAACACTTCAAGCATCTTGTTCAAGCAGCAATTTACTTCCCAGTGCTTGTTCCCCAGAAAATCAACCCTATGGATTCCACCTGTCACCTCCCCAGACAAAAGGATTCATCTGATTAATACAATGCCTTTTTGCCTCACTTATCAGAGGAAAAAAAGGAAAAAAACAACCAAACAAAACTTACTCACACATGCTATAAATCCTATCGCCCACTTTCATTCTCTTCCCCTTCCTATTACTATTTTTTGTCACACACACAGAAATATCTCTTCACATGCAAACTCAGTTGGAATGTGACTAGTGTAGAGTACAGGTCATAGCCCATAGGAAAAAAACAGACATGATTCGTCAGTATTTTTTGCTTCTACTTTAAAACTTGCAGGTTTCTGTGTCTATATGTTCTTTGGTCCTAGGCTACATTATCTCCTCATCCCTTTCTGAGAAGTTTTGAAGCAGATACTTTTAAGTGCTTGAAAATTTTTAGTACAAGCATAAGCTAGGTCATCACCAGCCATTCAGTTCTCCTCCCAAATGTGAGCCAGCTGCACTGGAATCTTGTTTAGGGAACCAGGCAACACCACCTAACTCACTGGTTCATCCAAGGCACTCAGAGGAAGCATAGAAAATGCTGCAGACCTGAAGTTCTTCCAACGCACTTGAACAACGATGCAGAAATCTTCACTAGAGCTTTCACTTGAACGATGCAGAAATCTTCACTAGAGCTTTGGGCGGCTTTCACTTGCTTATCTCTTTTAGACATTCTTCCATTCAGAATAAACTTTTTCTATCTATACTGCAGAAAAGACTAGCAACATACCACGTTTCTGCGCCTCCTCTTCATCGCTATCGCTCTCCTCAGACGATGATGATGACGATGAGGAGGAGGAGGAGGAGGACGATGACGACGATGATGAGGCTGAAGAACAAGACGAAGATGACGACGAGCTAGAGCCTGATCGAGAGTGCGAACAAGATGAGGAAGATGAAGAGGATGAAGACGATGACCTGGAAGAACAGGATGATCTATCTGAGTCAGAGTCCGAGTCCGAGCTAGAATCAGACCCTCTTTTGCTGATCCTCTGTTTCTTGGAAGCTGCGTTAGGAGTTAGAGGCTCTGTCCTTGCTGCAACCATGCGCCTGTCTGTTTCAGTCTTCACACTAGCTTTGTGGTCTGTATTTTGTACCGAAGTGCCGTTTTTTGGACTCAAAGGTTCAGATTTCATTACTGTCTGTGTCTCCTCTGTAGACATAGATTCCTCTTCAGAAGACTGAGGATCCTCTTTCAGATTTTCATTTTTAACTTTTGTATCCTCAAGAGCATTCGCCTTAGCATCCGGCAACCTTGACTGAGGTGTTAGAGGAGATGCTGATAGTGCCATTTGATACTGATGCAAGAGTGGAGTAGAAGTCCGTGAGAGGGCCACTTTGTTCTGACTGTAGCTCCTCTGGGCAGACATAAACGACAGCTCCGGATCACGAAGGATGTGATAGTCTGTCCTGCTAACTCCATGTTTAGCAGCTCCAATAAGTAAATCCCTGTCATGAGCCCCACACTCCCACCAGACAGGCAGATCTGGGTTTGGCTGACAGAGCTTTAGTCGCTCGAACAACTGTGGGTGTCGAAGCGCCTGCTCCCGCACTTTCCTTAGGAGCTCAATGCGATACAGGGTCCGGGAAGCTCGTTCCTCTGTAATCGGCTGGATCAAGATGTTTGGATCTACCAGCTCTGCAGCAAAACAACAAAGATGAGAATCTGGCAAAAACCCCAAACCGCCCCAAAGCCCCAACAGATGGCTTGGACTGCTTAATATCACTCCCCATTACAAACTTTCCATTTATATTTCACTTCAGATCCATCGTTTTTTAATTCTTCCCTACTTTTGTTCTGGAACAAGAGAAAAATTTCAAGGTAATATTCCTGGCGGAAATTAAAAATAAAATTTTAAAATACACATGCTTACCTTGTTTTGAAGGAAGGCGACAGACTCTCCTGCACATGGACATGAATGCATACAAGTACTTCTCTAGGCTCTCATCAGTTTTCTTATGCAACCTAGCCATGGCTCTGAATTTGGTCCAGTCAAATCTGCCCCTTTCAGGATCAAACACCACTCCAAACGTGGACACAACTCTGTAGAAGTCAGCTTCTTCCCTTCTTGTCCACCTAGACCAGCAAGAAAGAAAAATTGGAAAGAGTAATTTCCTTCACTGTTTCATCCAACTTGCCATTATTAACACTCATTAAGAATATATAACATATAGAATAAAAAAAACTTTTTTATTGTTATAATTATGTATTTTTAAAAAAATGAGTATTTGTGTTCTGCATATACCTTTGCTGTCTCTCAATCTTAGCAGCCATCTTTGGATTTAGAGCAGCTTCTTCATATGGGGGCTGCATCATGCTCGTCTGCACGGGGAACGCTGGCTGGAGCTGCTGCGTCTGCCTGTTTTTGCTTGTTCGCTGATAGGCTGTTATGAGGCGGCGGAGACGCGTGGTGAGGGCAGACTGAGTGGGCCAATAAATCTTGTCTCCCTCCATCATTTGTCCATCTGGATTAAAACAAAATCACACAAACAAATTAATGATTATGGGTGCCTACGGCTGCAAGCTAACAACAAGCAACTGAAGTAGGGTTTAGCTAGGAGACAGGGGAATTAAAAAAATTCAAACTAAGGCTGAGATTTAAATATATCTACCTCCATCTGCTATTACCAGGTCACCTGGGGATGAAACATCATCCTGTAAAAAAAAGAAAATTGAAAAAAAAAATTAAAAGTATTCCTTCCAGAGATTTAATTAAAATACACATCTTAGAATTTAAGATTATAGTCAAGAACAAAATAATGTAATTTATATTTTGGACAAATGGCTAAATAAACATGGCATAGATTTTTTTTTTCCTTTTCCCCTCCCCATCACTATAAAGATTTGCAAGAAGCATGCATAAATATATCAATTAGAGAATTATTGAAAATATTAAATATTTTCCTCGAAAAATCATTCAAAATATTGCAGAAAATAAAAATAGATGCCCACTATACCTCTATGTCATCTTTAAACATTGCTGGGGCTGGTTTATATTCTGGATCTTCTACATCCCTGTTAAAATTTCAAGACATAACAAGCCATCTCAATAATACTGTAAGAAATCCTTACTCTTTTTTCTCAATTACACAAAACGCTTCAATTTAGGTAGATTTACTCTTTTTATTACAAAGATAGAAAAAAAAAATCATAACAGCTTTGGGTTGAACCCCATCCTTTTGTCTTCTCTTGTCCTGCAAGTCACAGCCTCATTTAGGGAGGTCCTTGAGCCTTCCCACTGGCAGGTCAAGGCAAATCTGCTTTGTGGCACTAGTCAGTGATACTCACATTGATCTGCTGGGGTCACTGCTTAGCTGCACGAGGCCACTATTGAACTGATAGATCTGAAAATAAGTTACAACAGGTCTGCAGTCCTTGGCCTCGGGAGGCTTTTGCACTTCAGCATCTGAGCAGCATTTCTGACCCACCACAAGGTACAAAGACTCCAACACTCCAAGGTTAAAACCATGTAATAATAAGCTGCTACCTATTTTCCTTAGCTGTGAAATCCCACACTTGATTGGTTTGGTTACACTGTTCCTAATTCTGCTTTCCACTCACTAAGAGGGGATTCAAGGTAGTGTTGTTCACATCAATGCCAACAAACTAGTATATAAATAAATAAAACATTTAAGAGGAAAATAAGTACAGTACATAAATTCAGTCTGGTTTAACTTAAGGCCTGAACACATCCCTGACCAGTTGCAAGTTCTCCTACCCATCCATATAATCGTTTGCTCTCTGTTCAGCAGCAACTGCTTTTTCGTCTGGTTTGCCAACCCTTTCCAAGAAGCACAGCGCGGGGTCTGCTCTGATGGTGTTGTACTTCTCATAACCTAAAACAGAGGGAAAAAGGCACAAACTCAACTCTCCAAGTAAGCTATTAAAAAACATGGGAGAACAGACGGGTTATATTGAGTGATGGGAAAGCATATATGTGTGTATAAGTTATGTGTATTACTCACCATGTTTAAAAACTCCAATTAGAAGGGATTTATCTGCATCCACAG